ACAGGGTGTACTAGAGTACACTGTTCACAGGGTGTACTAGAGTACACTGTTCACAGGGTGTACTAGAGTACACTGTTCACAGGGTGTACTAGAGTGCACTGTTCACAGGGTGTACTAGAGTGCACTGTTCACAGGGTGTACTAGAGTACACTGTTCATAGGGTGTACTAGAGTACACTGTATACAGGGTGTACTAGAGTACACTTATACAGGGTGTACTAGATTGCACTGCATACAGGGTGTACTAGAGTGCACTGTTCATAGGGTGTACTAGAGTACACTGCATACAGGGTGACTTAGAGTACATTGCATAGATGGTGCACTAGAGTACACTGTATACATGGTGTATTAGAGTTCACTGTGTACCGGGTGTACTAGCTATTACACTGTATACAGGGTGACTAGAGTACACTGTATACATGGTGTACTACAGTAGACTGTATACAGGGTGTACTTCAGTACACTGTTTACATTGTTTACTATAGTACACTGCATACAGGGGACCTAGAGTACACTGCATAGATGGTGTACTAGAGTACACTGTATACAGGGTTACTAGAGTACACTGTATACAGGGTGTACTAGAGTACACTGTATACAGGGTGTACAGAGTACACTGTTCATAGGGTGTACTAGAGTACACTGTATACAGGGTGTACTAGAGTACACTGTATACTGGGTGTACTACAATGTTTCTATTTTCTAGATTTTATCCCGGGACTCTGTGACAGTTAGTGTTGATGCAGTCGTCTACTTTAATGTGATAGATTCAGAACAAGCACTTTGCAGTGTTGATGATTTTAGGTATTATTATTATCAGTGTAATCATTGTTATAAGCACTTTGTAGTGTTGATGATTTTAGGTATTATTATTATCAGTGTTACCATTGATATTAGTATATAAGCACTTTGTAGTGTTGATAATTTTAGGTATTATTATCATCAGTGTAATAATTGATATTAGAATATAAGCACTTTGTACTATTGATGATTTTAGGTATTATTATTATCAGTGTAATCATGTTATAAGCACTTTGTAGTTTTCACGATTGTAGGTATTATTATTATTAGTGTTATCAGTAATGTCAGAAAGGCACTTATCTTTTTATTATTGGTTTTATTGCTAGAGCAGGGTTGTATAAATCCTGTAAAACCGTATATGTCCTTAATCAGATATCAATTTTCTGTTTTAAAGTTGGAAAATAAAGTTCTAGTTTGTAGCTGTCAAAGTAATAATTACAATTTAAAGTATTTTTTCTTCAGTCATTCTACTCGCTTACTGGCAGCGACTACACTCAGAAATGTACTCGGTACTAAGGTAAAGTCATTAATAATTCAAATAATTTTCTAATTAATAGGACTATATTCAAATGATCCTCTCTATTCCACATTAAATCCTTGCTCTATTCATAGTCAGAGATATTGCTGTTTACTATAACATTATTAGCAATGTCTTTCCTGCATTAAGGAGTTGAGTCTGTGCCACATACTATTAGTTTCTAATCCCTATATTTTTGCAACCCAATGTCGTAAACCATAATGTTTCGGTGTGGATTATGTTTTGTCAAATAATCTTAGTTAAAAAACAACGTGTACATATTCAGACTGCATAGATATAGGGATTCGAAAATTTGAGTTTATGTCAAAGACTGAATTCTTTTGACACAAATCAAATCAAATATTCTGTAATTTCAAGATGAACAAATAATAATAATAATTAATTGTCAGAGTACACAAAAATATAATTGATCAGGAAAAGTGTTAAAGGGAACCTGTGTAGTTCAAACTTGCCACTTTAGTAACGGCGGCTGTTAATTGAAATAAATTAATTATCAGTATCTTTCCCTAATCTCGCACGTTTTTTGGCCCTTTTTTAATCTAGGACGTTATATGGCCCTTTTTTGATCAAGGGCATTAGATGGCCCTTTTTTAATCCAGGACGTTTAGATGGCCCTTTTTTAATCTAAGATGTTAGATGGCCCTTTTTTGATCTATGATGTTATATGGCTCTTTTTTATCTAGGACGTTATATGGCCCTTTTTTAATCTAAGGCGTTATATGGCCCTTTTTTAATCTAAGATGTTATACGGCTCTTTTTTAATCTAGAACGATATAAAGCCCTTTTTACTCTAGGACGCTAAATGGCCCTTTTTTAATTTAGGACGTTAGATGGCCCTTTTTTAATCTAGGACGTTATATGACCCTTTTTAATCTAGGACGTTATATGGCCCTTTTTAATTTAGGACGTTAGATGGCCCTTTTTAATCTAGTGCGTTAGATGGCCCTTTTTATCTAGGTCGTTATATGACCTTTTTAATCACATCCTGACGTTTTTGACGAAAAATTGGACGTTCCCAAATATTTTGTTGTTTCTTAAAATTCTGAAAACCCTGAAAAAACGATTGCAAAGCTCAAATGTCAATTTGATGTTTAGTGATTTTGATTTTGATAGCCATCAGTGATTCATAACTGTAACGATTTTTTGTAAATTGTCGTTGTTGAAAATATAAATGGTGGATTTCTACATGAAAACCTCATAACGACACATTTTCCAATAATATTGTTTGGAATTGTTTGATTGTTTAGAATTTAGCTGAGATCCTGTCAGATCGGGAAACCATAGCTCATATCATGCAGAGTTCATTAGGCAGATAGATAGATAGATAGATATATACAGGGTGTCCCAATAAACATGGGAATTTAGTGACGAATTCGATATCGTCTTTTTAAATAATTCATTAATTTAGTATAGTGATATCTACTGAGAAAGCTGTAATCTGTAAGAGTTTCGTCTGCTATTTTCACATTTTGTTTGTTTATGTTTTGACTGCATAAGGGAAAACAAGAAAATTGCAGTATACAAACAGAGTAAACTTGTCCGTCTTCACTGTTCATCTTGCGGAGACATCATAGACACAGTCTTTTACCCCTTTCATAAAATGAACTCTAGCAGACATAATAATATTATGGCTTTTGAAATTAGGTATTACAAATTACACTGCTAATTCATAACGAAGACGATATCCAATTCGTCACTGGATTCCCATTTTTTTTGGGACACCCTGTACAAGGCGTTCTACGAAGCTTGACGGTAGAAAGACGACTCGAAGGTTGTCTTTAATCTTTGAAATTGTTTGCAGCATGCAATCTCAAGTTACTTTCAATTAACATGTATGATTCTTGAAACAATAATCACAAAATTGTCCTAGTCCCGGCCTTTTTAAAATGTGGTCTGCATTTTTTGTTTTTTTGATATTGTTGATTATTGGGGAAATCAAACTTTCGTTCAGATTTCAATTTATAAAATAAAATCAAAATCGCCGAAATCTAAACCAAAGTCCTTTATATCAGCTCCGGTATTATTGCAAGAAATGCCAGAACTAGAGTTATTTTGTGATTATTAATTCTAGAATTTTACTATTAAACCAAGTTTCCAAATAAATCCCCAAAATTATTTTAAAGATGGACGGCTTTCAAGTTGTTTTGCCACTGTCATGTTTCGTGGGACATCCTGTAAACAGATCGACTTTTTTAGGTTGTCATTTGTCTTCCAATTTGACGAATCAAAACACTGTATACAATCCTTTGAACTGTGTTATGATCAATCACGTACAAAAATACAGAAGCATATCGAATTATATAACTTCTAAAGTTAGTGAATGCGAACATTCAAGAGCTGTATCGATGTTTGTAAACAAAGGGACAAAATTTCCTTGTTTTTTAGACCTTAATTACAAATTACAAATTATTAAAAAGCTGTCAGAACCATAGGTATATTTGTAAAGCCTTAGGATTGTTTGTCTGGGGGTAAACGATAAATAAATGTAAAAAAAATGTTTGAAGGGATAATGAAAAATTTAAATGAAAGCTTGAAAACAAAGAGAGAAAATGAAAATGGTTAAATTTGAATTTAGTTTGAAATTTATTTATGTGTTCTGTACACCTTCGGTAATACCAAGTAGGAAATACAATCTGAAGCTGGTTATCAGAGAAAAAAATGAACAGAAGGTCGGGAAAGAAAAAATCTGGAAATGAAAAGAAAAATGGAAAACGCCAAGAATATTGTGAATATTGTTTAAGAATCATACATGACGTTCAGGGTGTCCCACGAAACATGACAGTTGGTGAATAGTTTTTATGTCGTCTTCCATACACTTAGATATTAGATAGTAAAGGTTTTTTGCAGTTTATTTCGTTTAAAAAATCTTTTGCTCAATTATATTTTACTTTGAAATTAATTTTTCGATAACATAATTCCTATTTGATATTTTTATTATTGTCTTTGGTATTAACAATTAAACAAATTATGGAAGAAAACATTCTAAACTATTTACCAACTGCCATGTTTCGTGGAACACCCTGTTTGTCGACAAACGAATGTCCCAAATTATTTTAAATATCTAAGACGACATTTATCTGTTTTGTCTATCTATCTATCTAGACGAGGCAACTGACCCATGGGGTGTAAAAGTGGAAAGAGTTGAAATGTAAGTATTAACAGATTTCATGGACTTGCGTACTATGATCCATGGACTAATAAGTATACTACCTTTATGGACTAATACTTAATGAATTCATGTACTAAAAAGTACTGTATCATACCCTAAGAAATACTGAATTCATGAAATATAACGTACTGCATTCATAGACTAAGATATACATGTCGTTCATAGACTAAGATGTACTGCTTGCACTATACTGCATGTTTAAAAGAGATGTACTACTGCTTGTAATGTACTGCTTTTTTAGAAAAAATGTACTGCTTGTACTGTACTGCTTATTTAGAAGAGATGTACTGCTTGTAATGAACTGCTTATTCAGAAAAGATGTGAGGTTGCCTGTACAATTACAAAGAGCTATGGCAGCAGAAGCAGAAGCAGCTAGAGAAGCTAGAGCTAAGGTACGTAAAAAATAAGGTTTCTATGTTTGAGTGTTATAGCTAGGGTTTCCAACGCATGTGCAAAACGAGAACAGTTGCGCACGCCGTTCCGCGCAACGGAATTCAGATTAGAAACCCTAGTTATAGTTTTGTTATTTAAAAAATAAAAGTTTCTTATTTCTTCAGGTAATAGCAGCTGAGGGAGAACAGAAAGCTTCACGTGCACTGAAGGAAGCAGCTGATGTTATTCAAGAGAGCCCATCTGCTTTACAGGTTACTTAATACAGGGTGTCCCCACTAGGGCTCGGCACGTTGAGACTTTTTTTCAAGCTGTTTGTTAACGGTTCGTTAAAATCGTTAATAAACATTTCAAGTATTCGTTAGTTCTTTAGCTCAAAACTGAACGTTTTGTTCGTTAACGGTATATCATCTCTTCTTTCTCAAGGTTTCTGCTCATTAGTGATATCAATTATATTAACAGCGTTAACGCAAAATATTTTTGTCTAAACATAGTTTGAAAAACAACGTTCAATAACATCAAAACACGTAAAAACATCAATATACACAATTTTTTGTGTAAGTTTTATGCAATTTCAAATAAAAAATAAGTAAAAAAGTAGGCGTTATTTTAAAACCGTTAATTTATTTTCAAGAACAGCAATATCCGTTTGTCAAGTTCAACGCTTTCTGCTTTTGCTGTTCGTTAACGGACTCTTTCGTTAATTTTCAAAAACTTGACGTTTGTTAATGGAACGTTGCCCAGCCCTAGTCCCAACCAAGGTTGTATGATATGGTTGGTTACTCATGATGCGTTCCAATTTGTACTGAAAATGTCTTCTAAGATAGATAGATAAAAACCTAATATGACATAACTCTCGCCTCTGAGGCCTTTGATTTTAGAGGTGAGAGTGACGTCATATTAGGGTTTTATCTATCTATCTTAGGAGACGATATTTTTAGTATATTGGAGCTCATCGAGAGTAACCAACCATACCATACAACCTTGGTCCCAACTAGTATAAGAATAAAGAGGCGACTTGAAACTCGTCTTTGATTTACATAAGATTACGAATAATAAAGAATATTTTAAAGGAACTGTTAAAGTAATTTCAAGTGACCTCAATGCTAAGATGGCAATTCCCGATTCACAAACTTCTACTAAAATTGTGTTGAGGAAAATGAGAGGGTAGGGTCGTAATCTAAAAGTATTGGATAAAAATAAATTTTATGAATAACAAAAATTTTATTTATATTTTTCAAATTTTTTTTATAAAAATTGATTTAATGTTTTTCAGTTGAGATATCTGCAAACTCTGAACAGTATAGCAGCAGAACATAACTCTACAATCATTTTCCCCATGCCTATCGAGCTAATAGGGTTGGGGAAACATATGAAATAATTCCCCCATGCCTATCGAGCTAATAGGGTTGGGGAAACATATGAAATAATTCCCCCATGCCTATCAAGCTAATAGGGTTGGGGAAACATATGAAATAATTCCCCCATGCCTATCGAGATAATAGGGTTAGGGAAACATATGAAATAATTCCCCCATGCCTATCAAGCTAATAGGGTTGGGGAAACATATGAAATAATTCCCCCATGCCTATAAAGCTAATAGGGTTGGGGAAACATATAAAATAATTTTTCCCATGCCATCAAGTTAAAAATATAATTCAAAATTTGGCAGTAACTTTGTTAAAACAATTTCCACCTTGCTTAGAGCTAATAGGATTGGTAAAACATATAAAATATGCACATTAAGCAAATAACGGTGGTGAACGATCTAAACCAATTTTCCCCAGGCCTATTGAGAAAACAAATAAAAGTGATTTCCTCCATTTTCATTTAAATCCTATTGTTTTTCTTGACAAATGAAAATTAACTTTTAAAATCCAGTTTTTTAAAGTTAAAATGTTTTTTTTCCTGCCTGCACTGTGTTCTTGATTTTATAAACTTACTGAACTGTTTTGTTTTTTTGTTTGTTCTTGTTTCAAGTTACGTGAAATAAACATACTTAAGCAATCGTTAAATAAATCCAATAGTTTAGAAGTACACTTATTGTTAATAAATAACGAGGATATAAAGGAGAGTAGGATAAGTAGGTCTGCTCTGGTTCCAGAATCCGACATTTTGTAATCCCCTTCCGGGGATTTTTATCCCTTACAATATTGTTTTTGCCAAGGTACTAATGCAAGGAAAGTTAATTGCAGTTGCGTATACTCTGCGTACATATTGAAACCAGTCCTCTCTGGGCGGAAGTTGTAAACAAGAATATATGGATAAGTGTTCGTATAGTATCCGAGGAGGATAAAAGCATTGAATTTTGAAAAATTTTGATAATTCACATAATAGTTTCCTATGACCAGAATATTTCATTGATTTTTTATGTGAAAGATGGGATCCCATGTCAGGCTATAACATCCGTCTTGTGTTTACATTACTTCCCAGAGACAGTACACTGCAGTACAAAAGATCGCCTTTTAGATCTTTGAAATAATAGGCGGCATTCTTAGCCTCAGTTTACCTTAAATGTCCTTAGTACTGGTATTTCCAAGATGTGCTCTGCCTTTATTGTGCTTTGAAAATGACCAAAGATATCAAGTTTGTCTTTCAGATTCTGACAATTTTGGTTTTATCAATTTTATTAATGAATTTAAATCTGAATGAAACCATTATAATTTCAAGAGTCATACTTGTAAAATTAGGTTAATTGATAAATTGTAAAATTAGGTTAATTGACGAACTAATGCCGCAACTTATTTCAACGACTTTTAGGCAGCTAGAGCAAGTTGTGCAATGTGCACTGCACATTGTACAGTGCACAGGTGTACATACATATACAGTGATTACCAGAAAAACTGAAATAGAAAGACGACATTAAAGCAATAATTAATGTATTTGCTGTTATTACAAAGCAAATACTTCTACTACCTTTCAAATCTCTGTTTAAGTGAAATGGGTCTGTTTGCACTGCTCAAATTCTGTAGCTAATGTTTGCATTGGACTAGTGTTAAAGTCGTCTTCCTATTTCAGAGATTTCTGGTCATCACTGTAGACAGAAAAAAAGGATAGTACATCACCGTGTAGTGAGATGACCACAGAGCAGGGGGGTCGATAGTTCTCTACCTGTGTGCTCAGTTAGCTGTACTGTACACTTACAACTGTTTACTAATATTGATATACTATAGGTTAGACCAGAATCAACCTATAATAAACTATATCGCTATAGTTTATGGCCTATAAAATTAGTAAAGGATTAACGTACATCATCACTCTATACACTATAACCTCGTTGCCACAGAGGTTTTCACAGCCCCCAGTTACTGCCCTGAATGCATAGAACACAAGGTGTAAGAAATGTGAAAAATTGCAGAATCAAATTCCAAGAAGCAACAAATATGTTCAATATCAGATATAATGGTGCAAGGGACAGGGCGGGGAGGGGGNATTTACATAATTGTTTTATAAATGTTTACTATATTTACACTATACAGTGATAGCTAGAAAATAATGGAATAGACAAACGACATTATAGCAATTACTTCAGTGAATTGATTGTTGTTATAAAGCAGAGTTTTACTAGACACTTATTAAATCACTAATTTAGTCACGCAAACCTACCCCTTTGGTAAAAGAAAATTCAACCTTCATAAAGCATAAAGCCTGACTGCGTCAACCTTGTTGCACCGGCTAGTCCTGTCCATAGAGCTAGGTACAGTACAAACTGAGACCGGAAAGGTTGACCCGGGTCGGAGATTCAAATGTACTACGACTGCCCTTGTAGTGTAATGGGGGTCTGTTCGATCATATTGCACAATTTCACTGTCTCGTGCTTATTAGAATTTTTTAAAGTTATAACTTGAGTCTAAGAGTGGTCTTTCTATCGCTGTATTCAGTGTGTCCCGATAAACATGTGAATTGAGAGACGACTTGAAAGTCGTCTTTGATTTCTGATATTTAAGGCATATGGCAAGGAAAGTATAAAAATGAGGCTGTACGTCTGACGACCTTTTCATAAAGTGGTCAATACTCGATACCTTTCTTGTGTCTCAATATTGACAAAGATATTTGATATTATGACAATTGTGATTTATTAAATAAATTTGTACAAATTCTGAAATACCTCCTTCAATTTTTATTGTACAAAAATGGTAGACCACATTTTGAAAATCGCAAGACCAGGCGTTTTCTCATTATAAGTTGTTCTATATGAAGATATAGAAGATATAGAAGATATAGTAGATATTCATATATCCTCTTTCTATATCTGCAATGGTTCTATATATGCATGTATTCTCTATAGGCCATTATTCAGAATTTGTCTTCAAATAAATTTGGAATAAATTTTACATTTGCTCTCACCAACTCTACCAACCAAAGCCTTAACATTTAAAAGACTTGATAAGAAAAAAATCATAAAATTATTTTAGTTTATAATTTTTCAAGTATATTATTGTTTCTTTATTTTAAAATTCTTATATTTTACAATATAATGTATTTCTTCGAAATATGCAGTATATGTACTTTGCTTGATAAAACGTTTAAATGATGTTTTTACCATTAGGTTGCAATGATATAAGGATTATAACTCTAAAGAGATAAGTCTATGAAATTTTCATAACAATCTTATGCGTTTTGTCTGTAAAGAAGTTTAGTGCCATATGCAATTCACAACGACCCTCTGAAACTTTTATTTTAAAAAAATAATTTAGATATTTTCGTTTTCTATCAGAAATTTTAAAAAGTGGCAAATTTATGCTGCAAGGCCAATGCAGAAATTATTAAAATTCATCACTTTTAAGATATAAAGTGGATGATATCATTAGGTTTCTAGGGTACCATTATGAATTAAACATGTCACTTATTCACCACAGTTTCAGTAGAAGCAAATATTTCCATTTACCGCTATACTATTTCTATTGGTTCAGAATAGACAACAAACACATGATGACTGAGCCCTGATTGGATCAGGCGCTAATGGACTCGGAACACAGGAGTGTATTAAACGAAGGATCACTTAAAAATACGTCTAGAGTCCCTTTAAGTTAAAGATAATTCGGGCTAAAAACCTAAAGTGAATAAAGCCTAAAACTAGAATGATAACTCAACTATTCTAAGATTTATTTACGACCAGTCTCTTATATTTTATTTTTGATATTTTGTTAAATCTGAGTTGATGTTACAAATCGGGTTTTCTTCTTGTTTTTCCAGAGTTTCCATTTTACTCCGCAATAAAACAAATAATGTGCCTCCGCCATTTTGTTCAACAGCAATTCAGCGGGACTGACACAAATTCAAATTTAAAGAGTCTGTTCGCAAAAACGATCAATTTCTAAAGTGAAAATCCATTTGAAAAGAGCCATGTCCGAGTCACTACTCTACCATTTAATAGTATGGAATAAATTGTCATTTTTCATACTGGAAAAGTGATTAAATCTGAAAATTTCTTTCATTCTTTCTGTGACAGAAATCCGCAAGTCACTTTCATAGAGA